TCCGGCCCCCTGGGGCGTGGGCACCTCCTCCTCCTCCTCCTCCTCCTCCTCCTCCTCCTCCCTCCTCCTCCTCCTCCTCCTCCTCCTCCTCCTCTTCCTCCTCCTCCTCCTCCTCCTGCCCTTCGGGCCCGGCGGCCGCGCCATCGCCACCGCGCGGCCGCCGTGGTGCGCCCTCCTCTCGGTCTCGCTTTGTGTTCGCTCTCCCTCATCTTGTCCTCGCTCCGCCCTCGGTGCAAAACGAAGTCAGAGCGAAGACGGCCCACGAAATCGCCAAAATACCGTTCGGGTCGAGACCTGGCACTAGAGGCCTCCTGAATGTAGTCGGAGCACATGCGGTCGGAAGATCGCGACGCATCGCCGAGACATCGGCGATGCATCGGCCATACATCGGCGATGCAGCGGCGATGCACCGGCGATGCATCGGCGACCTCGGCGACGCATCGGCGACGTCGACGTGAAGCAAATCGGGCTGCACATCGAGCAGCATCGGCGATGCATCGGCGATGTGGCGTGATCCTCCGACCCAATCTACTCCGACCCCATCTAGGAGGCCTAGAGAAATTGCCAAAACACCGTTTGGGTCGAGCCCTGGCATGAGTAACCAAAAAAGGACCCCCTAACCCTTTGGGAGGGGACCTAAGTTAGGAGGGCCACAAACATTAGGGACAGGGGGGTCTTTTCTGCAGATGCATCGGCCCAAGCCGTCCAAATCCATGATCCCCGTACTGCAAAAAGACGGGGACCTCAGCGAGGCCACGTCTTCATTGTTTTATTAGGGTCAGGGGTTCTGTTCGGCGGTGGACAGACCTCCCTTTAGTGAACCACCCTTAGTGAAAACGGCCTGGGCCCGCAACTGACGGACCTGGACCCGCAAACGTGACGGCCGCGACGCCCTCCCGCGAACCGAAAACGGCCCATTCGCTAATCGACGTGTCTGGGTAGGAGGTCCATCCACCCCCGACCTGTTGCTCTCGATGATGGCACGCACTTTGAGCAAGGACCGACCGTCCCGGGGCATTCCTGCAGTCATACCACGAAACGTTCTGAGAACTCACAACTGTTCGAAGAACAGAAACCGTGTCCTTAGAACATAAACCCGATGCGTTGAAACAAGAGAGCATCAAACAGAAACCTTCTAAGAACATGTCGTGGAAACCAACACAGGTTCTTAGAACATTGTCTGGCAGGGCTATGGGCGAGCCAGGACGCTTCGCCACTGCTGGAGCACTGGGCAGCCCCCCCCCCCGCCTCGGGCGGGGAAGGCCAGCGGCGCCAGCGCCTCGGCGCCGCAGCCCACCCAGGCGCAGAACGCGGCGGGCACCTCTAGGCGCGCGACGCGCGGGGGGGGTGGGGCAGCTACAGGGCAGGGTTTAATACATAGGATGTTTAATACATAGGAATGTTAATACATGATTGATTCATGAATAAATGAATGCATAAACTCATCCTTGTATGTATTAATCAACCCTCTAGTTTTAATACATGGTTCGCACGCGGAGCATGTATTAAAAACGGCACTGTACAGTCGACCCGTATCATAAGGACGCGGGGTAAGGATGCAGGGGCCTCGGAGGCCCATGCGAACGTGCTTCGAGTGAGGCTGGCCAGCGAAAGCCGCTGTGGATGGGCCGAAGGGGCAGGGATGCAAAGGTACCCTTGGGAAGGTTGCCCATCCTTACTGTGCGGGTTGACTGTGCTCGCAAATGGCCTGGACCCGCCGCGTGGGATTTACGATCCGTTACACAGAGAAAGATTTACCGCGGACGTTTGCGAGTATGCACTTTGCGAATAGCGTTAGGTCGGGCATGTCCTCCTACAGGCGGACTTTGGACGAACCGTAGTAAAACAGAGTCAAACCATCAAACAAATCTTGAAAAACAAAAAGAATCACAACATTGTCCCCGAGCTAATTTTTTCTACTATTTTTGAACATTCCTCCTGTAGAAGGACAGGCCCGACTCAAGAGTGGCGGAACGCGCTCGGTGAACAATGAGAAAATCGCGACGGAAGGCCTGGGGCTCTTGCCGGCCTCTGGGGGCCCCTTGCCGGGCCTTCCAGTTACCAGCCTGGAACATATCCCTATCCCTATGTTGGGCATCGCCTCATCACGATGGCGATCTTAGGGATTTCCCCAGTTTCTGAGGGTGTATCCCTAAGATTGTCATCTCCTTTCAGCCTGTCAATCTTAGGGATCTGGATAAGTTCGAGGCTGGTGATCCAAGGCCGTCCAGGAGCCGCCGAGGATGAAGAGCTGGTCCCGGAGAAGGGGTCGAGGCCTCTGGGGGTCGACGCCATGAGCGAAGCATGGTGGGGCGCACGAGGACATACTGGTACAGGGCAGTTTTTAATACATGGGACTTTTAAAATAAAGGATTTTTAATGCATGGTCAAGTTATGAATAAATTCATGCATGGACTCATCGTTGTTTTAGCACTAAATCCCTGCATTTTTAATACATGATCCGCACGCGGAGCATGTATCAAAAACGGCACTGTACTGTGTATCCTCCTCGGAGGCGTGCGTCCGACCCGGACATCGAATCCAACGAGCCTGTAGTACATCCCTGCCCGAGCGATGCGGCCAGAGAGCGTCCGCCACGACGCATTTTTACCATGAGATTTCTCGGCGCGCGCGTCGCCCCTGGGCGGGGGGGGGGGGGGCGACGCACACATGGTGCATTGTCAACGTTTTCTGATTCGGCGTTTCGACATTGGGCGGAAGGGGAGGGTCTGGTTCCAGACCTCTGGCTTGGTGAGACTGTTTGCAACAGTGTGTCCTGTTGGGGAGAGGCTTCAGCTAAAACAACCAAGATTCACTCCAAGTGAGGGGGGGGGAAGGGGGGGGGGTGCGAGGGCCCGCGCCGATCGGCAAAACGAGGAATAAGAAAACGATCACTAGTGTTAGGTCGAGCGTGCCCTCCTACAGGCGGAGTTTGGAAGAATGATAAGGAAACAATCAACAAATATGCAACACTGATCAGACCATCATTTTGAACACATCGCCCCCAGACTATGCTTTGACTACTTTTGCATGCTCCTCCTGTAGAGGGACATGCCCGCCTTGGTATTGGTATGCTGGGGCTTAACGGGCCCTGGAAACGACAGGGCCGTTTTTGTTACCGGTTCTGATTTGCCGTTTTTTTGCCGGTTCCGACGCCGATGTTTTACCGGCTCCGTCGCCGTTCTTTTACGGGTTCCCGCTCCGGCTCCAATCCTGGAGCCGTTTCTGTTGCCATTTCCGGTCGCCGAAGTTTTACCGTTTCCATCTTCAAGGGACACTGTTTCGGAAACTAGGGGGACAAAAAGTGACATAAACATAAAAACTCTGAGGTCCGCGCGGATTTCTCGGATCGGCGCTGGGGCCCCCCGGCGGCGCCTCCGGCGCCGCCCCTGGCGCGCTCCGCGCTCCCGCGCGCTCCGCGCCGATCCGAGAAATCCGCGCGGACCTCCGAGTTTTTATGTTTATGTCACTTTTTGTTCCCCTAGAAGCGGTGCAAAAACGGCCCTGCCGCTTCTGGGGCCCACTGAATGCTGGGGTGCCGCCGGCACGACGTCGGGGGTCCGGCAGGCGCCCGCCACCGGAAGCCCCGCAGGCGTGCGCGCACCCCGCGGCGTGGCGTCGTCAGCGAGCGGGGGTGGGGCCGGGGCGGAGGTGGATCTCCCCTGTGCCTGCCACGTGGAATCCAGCGCAGCCCCTTCAGGCAGGGGAGGGGAGGGCGGGATGGCACGGGGAGGGAGAAGGAGGGAGCGCGGACGGGCAGGTCGGGCCGGCGGGCCCCCGCAGGCAAGTCGACGGAGGTGGCTCGCGGAGCGGTGCCTCTGGGCGCCCGTCGCGGCCGCCTGCTCCACGGCAGGAGCAGCAGCCCCACGCGCTGCTCGTCCCGTTCGCGGAGGGGCCGATGGGTACCGACGCCGCGACTCATCGGGCCTCCCTCTCTCCCGGGGTGCGTGACTACCTACCAGACCACCCCCAACCCCACCCGAAGACCCACATGTGTTTTTGCGATGCTTCCCGACCCCCCCCCCACTGGAAATCGAGGGCAAATCTGAGCCTCAGGGTTGGGTTGGGGGGGTTTGGTGGGTGGTGATGCGCTCCCACAAGGACTTCCGAGGCGAACCCAGCAGTTGCGGCGTGGGCCTCCCGGGAGGCCCGCATCGGCGAAAACGGAGCGGGGGTACAGTGGGAGCTCGACCACCGGCAGCCTTCCACAAGAAGCCCAGGCCCGAAACACCCTGGGAGGTCCACTGGCTCTCGTGTGGGCACGCCACGCCTTCCACAGCAAGGCCGTCGAGTCCGCAGAGGCCCAGGACACCCTGGAGGCAAGCAGGGTGTGTCTTGGCATGGGTTCCCCCCTATGGGCGCACCCGGTCCTCCTCGGAGCTCGGGGATGGGGGAGGCATCCCGTCACGGCGGCGGAGTGCAGGAGGGGGGGGGGTGCGGGCGGAGGCGGGGGCCACGGGCACGCGGGGCGCGGGCGGGGAGGCCGGGGGCCAGGGCCCTGGGGGGCGAGAGGAGGGCCTTCCCACCGGTCGGGCCTTCGTTTCGCTTCCGAGCAGCTCGGCAACTGCGCGTGTGCGGGGAGACGTGCGTCAAGGGCAAAGACAGTTCGTGAATCGACCGCCCCCCCCCCAAAGGACGTCGTTGCTGCATCAGCGCCACCATGGCTCGTCAAGGAGAGGGGAGCAGGAGGGAGAAGACCTGTCCCGTCCACGCCCTCCTCTGCCCCTTCCCCCTGCCTCTCCCAGAGACCTCCCCTTCCTCCTCTCTGCATCTCTGTCGCCCTCCACTCGCAGGGTGCACCACCAGGAGAAGCAGAAGGAGCAGAGAACGGCCAGCCACTGCCCTTCAGCCTCCGTCCGAGGCGTCTCCCTATTGTGCCCCCCCCTGCCCCGTCCCCACATCCCTCCTCCTCCTCCTCCTCCTCCTCCTCCCCCTCCTCCTCCCCTCCTCCCCCTCCTCCTCCCCCTGCTCCCCTCCTCCTCCTCCTGTTCGGCGAGGCGGGGACGGGCCCCAGGAGCACTCGCGGCCGACCCCGCCTCCCGCGCCGCCCGCAAGCCGCGGTGCCTCGTGCGCGTGTCCCGCGAGCGTGACCAGACCTCGCCCTCCGCCGTCCTTCCTCTCCGCGATCCGTCGGCATCGAATCGGAATGTGCGCCAGATCGGCATGCGTCGGCGTGGAGTCGGGCTCGAATCGGATCGGCCGCACTGGGATCCACGACCTTTCCACCACCACCACCACCACCACCACCACTATGTGTTGGAGGGGGAGGGGGGTCCTCCTTCTCCTCCTCCTCCACCTCCTCCACTTCCTCCTCCTCCTCGTCCTCCTCCTCCTCCTCCTCCTCCTCGTCCTCCTCCTCCTCCTCCTCCTCCTCCTCCTCCTCGTCGTCGTCGTCCTCCTCCTTCCCCTTTCCAACTTCTGGTGGTGGTGGAAAACAGGGCCCATCACGCCCGCGGAAACGTCAGGCCGCACCGGATCGCCGCAGTCGGGAGAACCGGGCCCCCGTGGAGCACGCCGAGGCGCGGGATAGCATGCCAGGGGCTGCCTCTGGCAGAATGCCCGTGCTTCTGGCAGTGACCCTGCCCTCCCCGTCGCGGAGTGCCGCATGCCTCGCCACCCGCTCCCTCGCAAGCTGACGATGGATCCGCGCGCCCCGAGCCGCGAGCCCTCGCAGAAGAAAAACCGGTCCGCGATCCCGGGGCCAGGATCCCGGGTACAAGAACGATCTGCGCTCGCGAGGCCGCGATCCCTTGTATGAGAAGAACTCGGCCTGAACCAAAATAGGGAAAACTACCCAAAATAAGTAACTGAGCAAGGAGGGCATTGTGTTGCTTTGCTTGGCATTGTTTTGCATTGCTTTCACCTGCTTTGCTTGGCAATGGGTTGCATTGCTCGACATCGCATGCATTGCGTTGCACTGATGTGCACCGATTTGCCTGTGCTTGCGGAGCTTAGCGTTACTTGGCACTGCTGTGATTTGCGCTGCTTGGCATCAGGCCGAGATGCCTTGCATTGGCGTTGTCTGGCATTGCGTTGCATTGAGCTGCATTGCTTTGCGTTGCTTGACATTGTTTTGCGTTGCCTTGCTTGGTATTGATGTGCGTTGCTTGGCATTGCCTGACATTGCGTGGCATTGCTAGGCATTACGTTGCATTGAGTTTCGTGAAGTTGTATTGAATTCCACCAGCCCTCTGGGCATGAGTGGTTTAGCGCGTTTGTTCGGGGAGGCGTTTACCCCTCCCCCGATCCCCTACCCCTGGACCTGGACGGGGCGCCCCGCGACCCATTGGAGCGTCCAACATGGCCCAAGATGGCTCCAATAGGGCCTCAGAGAGCCCAAGATGATCTCCAAGACGGCTCCTGATAGGTCAAGATGGCTTAAGATAGCCTCCAACGTGATCCGAGAGGCTCCAAGACCGCCACAAGACGGCTCCAAATGGCTTGCAAGCACCCCCAAAAGAGCACCCAAGAAGCCCACATTGCTCCAAACCCTAAGGAAAAACCGCCGACCCTGTGGAAGAGGCTGTTCCGTTTGACTCGTCTTCGTCGACGTCGTCGTGGTCGTCGTCGCAGTCGCCGTCGCCGCTCCCTCTCTTTCCCTGGGCCCGTCGCCGCCCTCCTTTCTGGATCTTTGTCTTCCCCCCCAATCCCAATATTTTCCCATCTTTTCCTTGGGATCGACGATTAATTGTGTCTGTGTGTTTCTTCCCCTTCTAAAGGAAGTCCCAAGACGAGTCACATGGGTGCCCCCAGCGCCCCCCAAGACCGTCCACAAGGGCCCCCGCATCGCCGAACGATCGGTCCAAGACGCCTTGACGCGTCCGAGCGATGCCAAGGCGACGAAGTCGGCGACGACGCGGCGCCCGGCGGCCCGACGGCGCCTGCCACGCCCGGGCGAGGCCGCCGTGGCCGCTGGACGCGAGCGGCACGGCCGAGGGCACGGATCGTGCCTGGCGCGGGCACGGCGCGCGGGGCCGCCGACGGCGCTTCTCCTCCTCCTCCTCCTCCTCCTCCTCCCTGGCGCCGATCGCGGCCTCTCCTGAGATCGGAGGCCTTCCGCTGTCAACCCGCATCACAGGGGCGCACGATGAGGATGCAAGGGCCTCGGAGGGCCAGCTCGAAGCCGTTGCGAGAGGGGCCAAGGGTGGGCCGAGGAGGGAAGGGTGCAAGGGCACACTTGGGAAAATTGTCCATTCTTACTATGCGGGTCAACTGCTGCTGGGGTCGGAGGATCGCGCCGCATCGCCGATGGATCGGCGATGCATCGGGCACGTCGGCGGTACATCGGCGAAGTGGGCGTGGAGAGAATCGGGCTCCGCATCGAGTTGCATCGCCAATGCATCGGCGTTGCGGCGCGATCCGCCGACCCCATCTGCTCCGACCCCATCTGGGAGGCCTAGACTCCTTGGACTGGTACGATCGTAACCCAGGCACGTCCGCGTCGTATCAAAAATCACGACGCGAGGTTTTGGGCTGTTTTCGGCCTATGGGGGCCCTCTC